CGCTCACTGTAGCGCCCCTCCGCTGCAGCAGGCCAGAGACCACACCCCTGCCACAAGCCTGTTTCAGTTTAAGTGTTGTTTTCAAGAAACTACATTAGAAACTCTATTTAATTTGTAAAATATGTATACACACACACACACACACACACACACATACACACACGTAGATATAAATATTTAGTATACACATTCAGTAATATGCATACACTCTTATATTGTACATATATTTATTCATATAACTTTCAGATTAGCAATTCCTATATTTTGCTTGTTCTTATGTTATTGTATTTTTGCACACCTCTGTTGCTTGTGAAGCTCGCACACAAGAATTTCACTCGCATGTACTGTACCAGTGTACCTCCACATGTGATGTGACAATAAAAGTGATTTGATTTGATTTGGTTTGATCCATGTGTCCTTAAGCTTGTATGTTGAAGTATCCTTAGGCAACTTAACTTAGGTTAAAAGTGCTCAGGTATAGAAAAACGTATGAATGTGTGAACGCGGGTTGTAGTACGAAAGCACTTTGAGTGCTCATACTGAGTAGAAAAGTCCTATATGCAAAAGTCAATTTAACTCCAATTTTTTATTTTCTTCAGTTAAATGTTATATATATGTAGTGCCAAATCACAACAAAAGCTGCTTTATATTGTAAGGTAAAGCACTTGGCGATAGTGGGAAGAAAAATCTTTTTTAACAGAAGAACATTCAGACAGAGCGACGCTCAGGGTGGGGCAGCCATCTCCAACAGTTTTGAGATCCAGTAAACTAGTGAAAAACAAACATAAACAAGAATAAAGAGAAATAATATAAGATGGATAATAAATTAATGTATAAAGAAGTCAATAACAGTCGTCCTGTGCATTCATATAACTGCACAGTCTACTGTCATCTTTACTTCACTGAGAAAACTGCATCACGCACAAATAAGTCGCCATGCATGCATAAATACCATTTCATCCTAGTCTTCCTCCGCCTTCCCTACTTCCCTCCAAGGCTCCATGGCTAAGTGAAGTGCTTTTCCCCTGTGTTGTTGTACCCATGTTAGGCTACTGATGCCAGCTTGTCATTCTCTCCTCCTATTACTGTGAGAGGTGAGTGCGTCACGCTCGCGCAACCCACTTCTCTCTGTCAGCTTTCTGCTCTTGCTGATAGACACTGACATTGTCGGGCGTGAGCATTTCAGGCTGGGTCCATGGGAATAGCATGAGCATTCAGACACTGGTCTTACATTTGACGCTGCATGCATAACGACTTTGGGAAGTTTGTTCTTCAATGATACTTTTTAAAGACGATAACCAGAGCAAGTTCATACAATCAGGACTCAGTCACTGAATTGCTTCTTGAATGAGACTGGTGAGAAAGTAGTAGAGAAGGAAAAAAGTGGGTGGAGAATAAAGGGAGAGGAAGCAAGAGACATGTATTAAGGAAAAAAGAAAAAGAAGAAAAAATAAAATACATTAACATTAAAACGAGATTAATCTTACAGAAACCAAACAGGCCATAAATGTACTCCATGTATGTGTGTTTGTCTGACTGAGCAATCAAATCAGGGAGAAACAGCAAAGCAGACAGTGTGTGTCTGTATATGTGGTGTTGTTCTGTGAACACATCACTAGCCCAACCCATTCATCTGCTCTTCAGATGAGAACCAAGGGCTCACTTTGTGATGGTTTACCACATCTCTCTGAAAAAAAATGTCTATAAATAGTATCCAGGTATTTATGAATATTTAAACCTAACTGATGAAAGGAATGTACAATCTGGTCAATACAATCTGTGTTTGGTAGCATCCCAATCCACCATCTGCACAGCTCCACCCATAGATTAAATTGAATTCATGATGTGAAGCAATCCCATGATTAGCTGGGCATATAGTTATCTGGATAAAACACCTGTCACATCAGCTCAGGTCTAAAAACTGTCTTCACAAGTCTCGGTGCCCAGTTTTTGCTCTAATTTGAATCTGAAAGATATGATTGGAAGCAAAGATTTGTATCTCAGAAACTTCGTTAAGGATATCTTGTTTTTCCACTCACCACTATTCTTTTGTGTACACGTGTCAAAATCACTTTTTAATAGTTCAAGTGTAACTGAAATGCTTGGATAGTGCTTTTATCTGCAAGTATTTTATTTTTTATTTTATTGATTTTAGATTTCCCTTAGAGCAGAGCACTATTCAACAAAAGCTTGTGCAAGTTACAGGTTTACTCCAACCACAGCCGGTAGCAGAACGCTGGTTTAAGTTGACCATATCATATCAAATGTATTGTTTAGCACATTTAAAGACCAAAGTACACCAAAGTGCTTTCCAGTAAAACCATGATACAGATAAAATCACAATATAAAATATAAACTACAGATATAAAATTGTTACATAATATAAATGCAGAGCCAGATGAAAATCCCACTAGTTAACCTCGAATGGGAGGTAATGGCAAGTACGTTTTTAGACATGATTTAAAAGATTGAATAGAATGTGATGCCCAAATGTCTAGAGGAAGATTATTCCATAATTTGGGTGTGGCAATGGCAAAGGCACAGTCTCCTCTGGTTGCACTAAGAGCAGTTGACCGGATGATCTTAGTGCTCTCTTAGGGCTATACAGACAGAGGAGATCAGCTAAGTAATCAGGTGCCATATTATTTAGGATTTTATAAGTAAACAATAAGATTTTAAAAGTTTGAGAGCAGAATCAGGACTTATCATATCATCAGCTCCTATTGGAAAGAAAGCCTCATTGGACAAGATACTGGCCATCACAAGAGCAAACTACACTTCATACAGCAGGTTTTAGATCTCACCCAGGGTCAACACACCTGAATCAAATGATTAGTTCATTAACAGGCTTCTGGGAGAACTTCAAGACATGTTGAGGAGGTAATTTAGCCATTTAAATCAGCTGTCTTGGATCAAGGACACATCTAAAACCTGCAGGACACCGGCCCTCGTGTACTGGAGTTCGACACCTGTGTCATACAGGGTAGTGTGCATGCTGCAACTGAACTTTAAGAATAAAAAACAAAGAGTGCCTTTTTGATGACAAGTTCTTTACCGTTACTCTGAAGAGGGTAGCTTATGTCAGAGATAATAACATAAAACAGGGGTCGGCAACCTTTTTGATGATGAGTGCCGTCTAAAATTTCCTCAGAAGTCAATGTGCCATATGATTGCATTAGCAATAAATTTAATAACACTCTACATGAACAGTTACACAATATATATAAAACAACTTTACAGAATTATATTTGTTCACAGATGTTGGCAGTTGTCAGCGAATAATTATCCGCTATCTTGAAACAAAAGAAAGACACTTTTTATCCATAAGAGCAAATGAACTGTACAACAGAAAATGCAAATGCTTTTTATGGTATCCTCACAACAATGAAAACAAACGCTGTTGTGACAGTGATGTATAGTCTTTTTGGTATATGTATGATTTCTATACGTTTTACATCAGATAAAAACTTTGTTCGCAAGATTCAGATAATTATTTAATAAAAGCTAGATATTTTAAATGAGAATAAGAAAGAAAGGTATTTCTTTGTGGCCCCCTTTCCCTGTTAATGCCCTACCTGGCCCCCCTGGCAAAACTTTCCTAGACCCACACCTGCACAGTTACCAGCTGTCAGCTGCTTAAAAAAGGATCCTGGTGTTATTTGTCTCTCAGAAACAGTTGATAACTTCAACTCATTCATGTCACCTAAAAGGTAAACCTGTTTCTCCATCACCTGTTCAGCTCTGATGATTCAGTAAGGACATCTCCTGGTTTCATCTTCATGTTTCCCTCTCCCCACATATCCAAACCGATATCATAACCAGCAGCTTTACAGCTGTGGCTCCAGCAAACATCAGCTGATACTAGAAATCAATATTAAATAAATTCTAACAACAGCTGATCAAGCTTAAACATGCTGTTGTTGTTTTTCTGCTGGTTTCCTCTTTCTGGCGCAAAGTGGAAGATAAACAAACAAGAGAGACGATCAGCTGATTATTGATCAGTTTCATGATTGAAGTAACAACAGGAGAGGCAGGGGGAGAGAATGAGAGAAGAAGAGGCAGCTGTGCAGCGTAAAGACGCAGAATAACTCCAGCTTTGTGTCTTTTTCATTGTAGCTGAAGTCCGAGACAAACTGTTCCTTTTCAGCTCAATACGGAACGCGTAATATTTTCTCTGAATACGAGATGATTCCGTTTTATACAGGACGGTTGGCAACTCTACTAACTAACCTTATGAATACAATAAAGTTCACTATCAGTAACATCATAGCATCCACCCAGCAGTATAGAAACGCCGTCATGCTAGCTCACGCAGTACGAGTTATTGTAACTGACTGTAAAAAATCAGCACAACAAAAAATAAACTGCACCTAAACTTGGTTTATATCTGACCCAGATAGACTGCAGGTCATAACTTCTTACCTGAAGTTCAGTTCACCTGACACTCGGACCGGCAGCCGCCTCGG